TGTTTCTTTGTTTGTTGTTTTTTTCGTTTCTGTGTGTGTGTGTGGGGGAGAGAGAGAGAGAGAGAGACAGATTGGTTCAAGTCTTCAAGATCCTAGGATATTGATGTGATTGATTGGAAGGTTCAAGTCTTGTTTGTTTGTTTCTTTGTTTGTTGTTTTTTTCGTTTGTGTGTGTGTGTGTGTGTGGGAGAGAGAGAGAGATAGAGACAGATTGGTTCAAGTCTTCAAGATCCTAGGATCTTGATGTGACTGATTGATTGATTGATTGTTTGATTGATTGATTGATTGATTGATTGATTGATTGATTAATTAATTAGAAGAATGCCTTTTTTTTTTTCGTTGTTGTGTTGCAGGAATCAGAGCGCATATCCGGCGCACGGCCGTGTTCGGCGAGGGGCGCGACCGGCGACGACCACGGCACCTCGACGAGGCCACGTTGCCGCACACGCGGACATGTCCGCGTCTGCGTCCTCGTCCGCCCGGCGTTGAATGCGTCCGCGCGACGTTGAACTCGTCCGCGCGGCGGCGGCCGAGGCAGCGGTTTCGTGCGGGTGCGTTTTCTGACAGGGTGAGGTTCAGCAGCTGCGTCGGGGTTTCAGGAGCTGCTTCGGGTGTCTAGTTTAGGGGGGTGGAGGGGTGTGGTTGGAGGGGGGTTTGCAAACGGGGTTAACGGACGTCCAAAATGACGGGTGGTGCCGGCGGTTCGGGGGGCAATGACTTCGTTCCTGCGAGCGACGCGCAGATGGCCGAGCTGCGCGGGAAGTCGAGAGTGTGGCGTCATGTGACGCAGGGTCAGAGGTTGGGAACATGGGAGAAGAGGCATGGGGATTATAAGTTGCGCTGCAATTATTGCAAGAATGTCTGGCAGGGGAATTTATTCAAGGCACAGCGCCACTTCACGCAGTTGAAGAGGTGCGCGGCGACGACGATGGACGTGTTCATTAACATTTGGAACCACACAGATTAGGAGTTCGACAAGCGACATCTCTGCGGTATCGAGGCTTACATGAGGGAGCACGATATCCCTGATAGACGTGCTACGGACGTCCAGCGAGGCAGTGGCAGGGGGAGGACGGGTGCGTCGCAGTCGCAACCACAGGAGCACGATCCTGTGGACGAGATACAGGAGTTCCAGGATGAGCAGGCCAGGCGAGCACCGGACTTGGCAGGGGAGGAGGTGGTCATGACTGCGCGAGGGAGCAGTGCTGCTCACCATCACGAGGGGGACGCACCGGGCCCAGCGGGGAAGAGGGCGGTCGGCAGTGGACTTGAGGGTGTGGCGCAGGAGCACAAGAGACAGCGGCAGTCCACTCTGGATGAGGTGTACGATCTAGATGGGCAGGTCGCATTCAGGGACACCTTTTTGCAGTGGGCCTACGATAGTGGTATACCCTTTGCTGCTTTCAGGAGGCAGTCATGGTATAGGCACAAGAAGGCGTTGGCCGCCATGTCTCGCGGAGTGTGGCCTGTCTATCCGTCCTTCAAGGACATTGGGGGCGGCGGTATCGATGATCAGCGGGGGAAGGTTGCCGTGATGCTGAGGGAGGTCCGTGGTTCGTTCGAGTCGGTGGGGGCCACCATTTTATCGGACGCTAGGCAATCGCGAGATGCGAGGCCTATCGTCAACTTCCTTGCGGCCGCCAAGCGCGGCGCCTTGTTGTACGCCACCGTCCAGCGAGACGGTTCAGTGGCCGAGACGACACGGATCGTCCTCAGGAGATGGAAGGCCATTTTTCAGTCTTTCGCTCCGAAGGACGTATTGGCCATTTGCACGGACTCTGCGTCGAACTATATGTCCGCCGCAAAGCTCCTTGCAAAGGACCCCGATCCAGAGATCCGCCGTATCACTTGGCTCCCCTGTGCCACCCACGTGGCCAACTTGATGATTTCAGACATCGGCACAAGGGTTCCTTGGGTTACGGAGACCATTATCAGAGCTCGAGCGTTGGTGCGATTCATTAAATCGCACAGCGCGGCTTATCACCTTTCAAGGGTGAAGAGTCGTCGCCGAATGTTTGTGCACCCTGTGGAGACGAGATTCGCGTCCGTTTTTTTTATGTTTGTGTGTTTGCTCGCCAGGCGTAACGCTTTGGAGAGCATGCTTCATGACGACGAGTGGGACAAGATCCCATGGGATTCGTCGAAGCGTAGACAGGCTCTCTGGGTTCGGCAGGTCATCCGGTGCGCCGATTTCTGGCCCAACGTCCAACATGCCATCTCTGTCATGACCCCTGTCTACCAGCTGTTGAGGAGATTGGACAGGGGCGGCATGATCATGTCCATGATTTACTCGTGGTCGGAGGAGTTGGTGCGACAGGTGGCTGTTGTTGACGTCCTTGATGACATGCGGTGGCCGTGCGTGGAGGCGGTGCAGATCCGCACCATGCATATGCTTGAGCCGGCGCACGATGCGGCACACTTGTTCAACCCCCGCAGGCGCTCCCTCCGTTACTACGAGTCTGCCCGCAGGACAGCTGCGGACCTCGAGGTCGTTACCGAGTGCGACTCGTTTTTCTTGACGCAGACAGGCGGTGATTCGACGGGGGATGCATACTTGCGGGTGCATGAGCAGATGCGATCCTTCCACGCCAACGTCGGCCACATGACGGACATGTTGACGAGGGACGCCAAGGTAGAGGCCTATGCAGGGGACGAGGAGACGAGCAGGTGCGCGTCATGGTGGGTGGAGCACGGCGCATGCTTCCCGGACTTGCAGGAGATCGCTCGTCGTGTGATGCACATGTGGACGTCCGCCTCTCCTGCTGAGAGGAATTGGGCAGAGCATGAGCGCATCCACACGGCCAAGCGCAACAAGCTCAAGTTCAGGAAGTTCGCGCAGTTAGTTGAGATTGCTACCAATCTCAAACTTCTTGGATGCAGCGACCTCAGCGGGGGGTACGTTCTTCCGTAGGGCCACATGGCGACCCTCGCTAAGGCGCGCCCTGACGAGTACAGACCCCCCCCGATCGACGACAGGGATGATGAGGACGAGCCTTAGCCAGAGGAGTGGGGAGCCCAACCTCAGTCGGCAGTGGCCGCACACGAGGTTAGTGCACAGGTCCGCCGATTCCAGCAGCAGGGTTCTCCGTCCGGAGCGAGTTGCTGCGGTTTTCGGTCCCAGAGCCGAGACACTTCATCCTTACGACTATGTGCCCCCACCGCCAGCAGAGCCAGCGAAGACGTCGAAGCAGGAGTCCGACTTGGAGGATTTGCCGCCCGCTGTAGATAAGAGTCTCGAGAGACTTTTCTACACGTACGGTGCAGGACCGGACGGTTTTCAGCTACACTGCACCGTCATTCAGGAGAGCGACGACGATTCCTTTCCTAGTGGGGGTAGTACTGGCGGGCCGACGGGACGTGCTGCACGAGGCGCGAGTGGAGGTGTTACAAGCGAGCCTAGTGGAGGGCCGCACACGACGAGGGAGGACGTATTGCACTACCTGCCCAGCCCACTACTGAGAGAGAGAGGGAACACGCGAGGCTGGCCTGCACGAACGACGACGACGACGACGACGACGACGTGCCATTGGTCTTTCACAGAGCACGCATGGCGAGCGACAGAGCTCCGTCCGCCACCGAGGGTCTTAGGAGATCACTGCGGTTGCAGATGCAGGTCGACTCGTCCACGGGCGTCAGACGCGAGGTGTCCGGCCACCTGGATGACATTACAGCCGATGAGCATATGTCGAGCCAGCACACACCCGCCTCGGCACCTCCAGGGGACAGGGAGCAGACAGACCTACGCACGAGTGACTTTCCTGGACTCGGACACGGACTTTCTGACACCGGTTTTCCAGGATGGGGCCACAGGGGAGAGAGAGTGGGGGATGACGTCGAGTATCGTCCTACGGAGGCTGGTGTACCGAAGTCGACAGAGGAGCTCCATGCCCTCTTGGATCGAGAGGAGGAGCAACGGTTGGAGGTGTTGCAGAGAGACTGGGCGGGTATAGTCGTGTACATGGCGGAGCAGCAGCGTGTTCGGGATTTGGAAATCGGTGCTGCAGTACCTGATCCGGGCGGGGTGGAGCATCGCGATCCATTCGCACCTGACCTTGCACAGACTGAGGGGCACGGTGATCCGACCGTGCCAGAGCATGGAGATCCTGCCGTGTCCAACGTCGTACTTGGATTTCGTGCGGCAGACACGTTGCAGCCCGATGATGTACGGACTGAGGAGGCAGTTTGTATGGAGGGTAATTCTGACGAGCATGGGGACGGAGGGTGTGGACCCGGTGTGGAGGCCAATGATGGGGCGGATACTGTGGGGCGACTTTCACCGTCCCCTAGTGCCGGTCCAGGTCGGTTATCACACGGCCCCATTGGGGGTGACGACATGGACCTGTAGGCTGATGATCCGGAGGAGGTCGGAGGCAGTACGTCTTTGGCGTTAGTGTTGTGGCATCCTTCATTGGTGGCGCACGACGTTCCGTCAAAGCATGTCGAGGGAGTAGGCGGTGCCGATGAGGAGGAGGAGGGCGGTATACCACCTGACCTTCAGGACCACGCCAAAGCAGATATGGAGGAGGGGGAGATTACACCTGTGCCACTCGACCCTGATGCGTTGCAGCATGCAGGAATGGAGGATCCGATTAGGAGGGGAGCTGCAGGATCTCTTGGGGTCGGGGTTCGATCGCCTCCGTTATACACACTTGTGACCCCGCGGTATTCTGGCTCTCCGGCGAGCTTGGAGCGCGAGCAACATCATTCGGAGTCCATCATCGCAGCGGGTCGGGGTGCACACAGGGCTGGCACCAAGTCACTCACACCTCCTCCACCGACCGTGCCCCACAACACTCCGACACCAGTCACGGGTAGAGCTGCTGGTAGAGGTCACATGCCGACGTCGTCGTCACCTCGCCTCGACACACAGCAGTCATTTCACCGTCCGTGGAGCACAGTGCGACGAGTTGACGACAAAGTGAGGGGTGATTTCGCGGCGCACCAGACGCGGTTGAGGGAGGACTTGGAGGAGCACAGGCCGATACCGAGTTTGACGAATGCTTATTGCATTCTCGATCAGCCTGGACACGGCACTCGCAGGGTTATGCTTTTAGGTTCACGGAGGGATGCACCTGCGTTTTACACTTTTGGAGAGGACGGAGTGTCGGCGCCTCATGGAGAGCGACATCACAGCAGCATTAACGAGTTGGAGGCTCGTATTGCTAGGGAGGAGGCGAGATTGAGGGAGTCGCACGAGAAGCTTGACAGGGAGCGCAGGAGGATGGCAGCGGCGCGCACTTCGGATGCTGATACGGAGGAGGAGCCCATCGAGGTTGCTAGGCGCAGGGAGAGAGAGAGAGAGAGAGAGAGATTGGTCGCGGCACAGGCACACATGGCATCGCCGACACGTGGACGAGGCGGCAGAGGCGACAAAGCGGTGGAGGCGGCAGAGGCGACAGAGGCGGTAAAGGCGGGGGGCGGTAGATATATGTACTGCGGTTTTGATTTGGATATTTCCTATTTTTTCGGAGGGAGCTTCGTATTTGTTTTCTTAGACGCGATTCACATGTACTTTAGTTTTATAGTTCTTTGTAGCGGGGTTGTGTATATCTTCGCTTTTGTGACACATCAATATAGTAGTGTATACTAGTGACAGTTGTTTCCCATCTTAGTTGCTCATATGTACTTTAGCTTTGCAGTCACTTGTGGTAGGGGTTTTATGTCTTCGGTTTTGCGAAACATGTGTACACAACTTACAACTGTTTTTTTTTTTTTTTTTAATCCCAGAGGATGACTTCTGTATATACGGAGACTATCTAGTTCTTAATGTAGGTGGATAGGAGTCATGGCAAGAGCAGTTGTTGTCTTAGTTCGTCACATGTACTTTAGTTCTTCAATTATTTGCGGTAGGGTTTTTCTATCTCCGCTTTTGTGAGTGTACAGCAGTGACAGCTATTTCAGTTTGTTTGGTGGGTGGCATTTATGATACATGAGAGGACTTTGTTCCATATTGCCAATGAATTTTCATTTATTTTTTGTATGTTTGCCTAAACGTTGTGTGTCAAAGTTAGTGAAACTGGATGAATGGTGTGACGGTGTGGACGATGCATTGTTTCGTTGTGTGTCAAAGTGATTGCATAATGTCACGGTGTACATAATAAAAGTGATCGAAGCAGACGAGCCCACCAAACGGGCCGCCCACACCACCAAACGGGCCGCCCACACCGCAAACGGGCCCCACCAAACGGGCCCCACCCAAACGGGCCCCACCCAAACGGGCCCCACCAAACCAAACGGGCCCCACCAAATGGGATGAGATAACCACCACCCAAATAGGCCCCATTAAATGGGCCCCACCAAACGGGCCCCACCAGACGGGCCACACCAAAACGGGCCCCACCAAACGGGCCCCACCCAAAGGGGCCCCACCAAACGGGCCCCACCAAACGGGCCCCACCAAACGGGCCGCCCACACAGCAAACAGGAACCACCCAAATGGGCCCAACGAACCCAAACAAGCACCACCAAATGGGATTAGATAACCAGCAAACGGGCCCCGCCAAACGGCCCCCACCCAAACGGGCCCGACCCAAACGAGCTCCACCCAAACGGCCCCACCAAATGTGCCCCACCCAAACGGGCCCCACCAACCCAAACGGGCCCAACCAAATGGGATGAGATAACCAGCAGACGGGCCCCACCATGCGAAAAGAAATGAATGAACTTGAGCCCACCCAAACGGGCCCCACCAAACGGGCT